AACCCACCACAGCGCTTTGGCTGGTTCAACCCTCAAGCTCAGAGGGCTGTGATGTGTTTCTTTCTGTACAAGGGCTGGGGATGGTGTTCCCGACACGCTCCGCTGAGAACTATTCCTACACTGGCATCACGGGACTGCAGCAAAGCTGTTTCCATAATGAAAATCTGAATGCAGCAAGTCCTCCTCCCCAGTGAGGTACCTCTGCTAAGGAAAAGCAAAGAACAAATAACTGCTCAGCATAGAGCAATGCTTTGGCAAGGGTTAGTTCTCACAGGTCCCTCCCATTTAATGCAAACACCCCTCCCAGGCAGAGGAGAGCAGTGAGGAGCAGACTGTGCCCTCTCACACAGTGTCCTCCACGCTGAAAAGACCAATGCAGTGTTTTGTAGAGGTCTGTAGAAAATGGAAAGCAAAGTCTTTTCTGCTGGGCTTTACACACCAAAACAAACCAGAGGTACTGGAGCAGCAGCAGCTGCAGGCACTGAGGAGGCTGAACAAACACCTGTGCTCCTGGTCTTAGACACTTCACACTGCCACTCGCTTGCCACGTGCCCACACACCTGTGGTTTGGCACTGCAGGTGCTCAGCTGTTCTCTGACAGACCTCTAGGACCTTTCACGTGTTAAGAGTGGTGTGGTTTGGCTCTGCTTTTCTGGAAAGGAAACAGCAAAGATTTAGGCAAGTTCTACCAACACAAAGTTTCCAGGGAGCAACATTTGTCCCCTTGGTGAAGAAGTGAGTGGTGCTGGTCTAGAGCCTAATTGAGAGATACAAAACAAGAACGAGGCTCTGAAGAATTTAATTTCAAGACTGTCCTTTAGCATAAAAATAGCTTCCTTCAAAAAACTGTTTTAAGCCATGAGTTTTAAAAACCTGTTCTAAATAATCATGTGCAAGAAGTAGCTCTTCTCCCGCAGCGCACTCCTGCAATGATTGCTCAAAGCAGTTTTCTAGTTTTATCAACACTTGGCTTTAACACAAGGAAATTCTAACAATGTTATGATTATAATTAAGGCAACTCTAATAGGATTTTGTGGACTGTGATTGGCATCCCAAGCACAACATCAGACACAAAGGGGAATGTGCAAGGGACGAGTCTCCAAGACACCTTCAGAATCAGCAACCATAAAGCTCCATTTTATACAAACCAGGAAACGAGATTAATTTATAAATCAGTTTATTTACAGATTTTGTTCTCTTAAAGTACATTTCAATTACCAAAGATATTTACACTGGTGTACACAGGGACCACCCTGGTTATTTTACAGGTCTTAATTACAAAAAAGAAAACCCCAACCCCTCCACATCCTTGGATCTGTCTACTGTGCAAAGCTGCTGTGGATGTGAACATTAGCTGAAACTGGCCCAAACCCCAAGTTACCAGGTTATTTACACTTAACACAGTAAAAGGGTTTCTTTTCAGCATCTCCACAGTACACAGGGAGACAGAGCCTCCCAAAAGGCTTTGCAAACATGTATCAAAAAAGGCTCTGTAAAGTCAAGAAAAAAACCCCAAAACTAGTAAATGCAGGTTAATTACAGTAATCCTCTTTCATCTGTATATAATTTTGCATTTAAATTACAAATAGGTTCAATAGTTTTGCTTTTCTCTGTTTTAGTTGGTTTGTAAACACTTCAGATGCACTAAATACCTTACAAGATTCAGCTTTTTCTCTGCTGGAAAGTATTTTATTTTCCTAATATTCTTAAGGTAGCAAAGGGCTATGAAAGTTGGAGCTGTGCACAGCTCCTTGCAGAACGGTCACTTAGAAGGTCTCTAGCACTGTGCTACTGAAGGTCTTCTGCAGGTACACACTTATTCAAGTATTGCAAAAAGCTAAGGCCACTTTTGAAAGAAAGGAAAGGGAACAAGATGGGATTTTTCAATCCCTCATTCCACCTTGTGAGCAACGAGCCTTTTCTGAAAGGCAGAAGTGCTGATATTCCACAGTTTGTCCTGCTGGGAGAGAGGTACTCACTCTCTGTGTTCTCACAAGTCTGGGCTTTCCCACCTGGCACTGAGATCCTTCCAGAGATGGAACAGCATCTCCCCAGCCATGACAGCCACTGCCCCAAACAGCTCATGGGTCTCAGCAAAATGTCTCTGCCTTGACTCTCCTCATGTGGTTGCACCAAGATAACCAAGACCCAGAAATATCATCCTGTTGGGAAGGGTGGAGAGGGAAGGGGAGAATTCAGCCTGTTTGTGGGACCTCAGGCTTCCCCACACCTTCTCCTCACCAGCCTGACCATTGCTTCATCACAATAACCATCAGTCCACAAGTACTCAACCCGCTCGAGGTCTTGAGCATACACTCACCTCAAAACAACTCAACACACATGAGGTATTGAGAAGGTAATTCACACATGTTCAAGTTTTTAGGGTTGCTCCTAGCAAGGATTGCTACCAAAAATAAACTGTGATGTCAGCAAAAGAATAAAGCCATTAGTTAGACCCAGCTTCCTTCTGTCCAGACAGATGGAAAAATAGTTACTACTTCTGTTGAGGCATATGATCTCCAACAGACTTTGTCAGGCCCAGCTGTACAACCTCCTCCCTTGCTGCTGGACAGACCAGAAACATCCCACCAGTCCCTCAGAATGGCTGAAAAGCCTTGGGGGTGATGCAGGAAAACCTTTTCCACATTGGCCATGGTACCTACAGGACAGAACCTAACCTGATACTCCAGGTACAAACCTACTCTGCAGGTTTCTGCCTTCTT